TATATATATATTGCAGTAGCTGTTCATAAAACATTGCATCTCAAATCTGAGGCCATAGTTAYCTGCAACAGCTAAAACATTATTGTTCATATGTCTTCCACATGACYTCACTTCAAATAATCTTAACTATTCCTTTAACAAAATGTAACAATTGCTTGATTTTATTTACCTTAAAGTTTAGAACTGGCCGTGTACCTCACGAGGTGTACTGACAAACTAGAGTTTGTTTATGAGAAACTTTAAACAATAGTACTGTACTCTGGGGWGAGTGAAAATGATGAACCACAGGTGTGGGGAATAATTGGTMGTTCAGCGAGCCATATCTAGACAYAAGGTAAAGTAAAACAACAGGAGAKAGATAGTAGAATCAAGMGTGTAAGAGTGATACAGTCAGACCATGTCAATTTCATTTAGAGCAGCATTATGTTCAGAAATGTACATTTTGTTCTTGGTATCACTTTACATACTAAAGTTAAAATATGCATATTACATTTAGGAACTTGTTTGTGCCATTTTAAAAGAATGTGCACTTCTTCTTTTCTTCAATAAGTGTCCAAAATTGCATTATTTCAATTCACCTTCAGTTTGTTCTAAATGGAATACYGAATAAATAGATTTTGGAGGGGAAAAAGATGCTTCTGTATTTATTAGCACTGGTATTATAAACATGTAGGCTTGTGGAATCTTCTGTGCTTAAATCAATGATTATAAAAGTAAGGACATATTGTTTTTCACATAACTAATAATTGCTCTAACTCAGTATTCTGCTCTCCTATGCAGTGGTGAACTGTTCTGACCCTGGCCATGTGGAGAATGGTGTGCGCCAGTCTGGTCTACGTTACCCGGAAATCTTCAGCTACGGTGTGACTGTGGCAATCCACTGCAAAAGAGGCTTTTATCTTTTGGGTTCTGCTGTCCTCATGTGTCAATATAATGGACTGTGGGACCGACCAATTCCTCGTTGCTTAGGTATAACCCAATATCATAGGTTAAATTATATTTATTGCTTTTTAAAGCAAATGTCATGATTCAGATACAAAACAATTGCTTGTTTCAATAGCCTAGGCATAGGAAAAAATAATCATAAACATGTAACTGTTATTAGTCATRGTTAACCTTAGTGATTTTTTATGTATATAGCTTGGCAGTGACTGAAACAACTCATGCAAAAAGATTTTGATTGACAGATTATCCACTACATGATCATATTCTGTGATTGCAAAACCATTTTAATACATTATTCTTTCTACCACCATTATTTTCATGTAATGAGGTGGCTCATGATATTCATAAGTGTTGCATGGTGTTTTAGACAATTTTWTGCCAGTTACACTGACATATGAAAAGTTTTTATTTTATTTTATTTATTTTTTTTAATTTCAGTGGGGGGATGCCTGCAGAAATGTCATCACAGGCACATGGATTACTATGTATTTTTTTTCCTTATTTTCAACTAGAAAAGCAATATGAGAAGTGAAATGGCTTGAAGAGCCACCAAGATGTCTGTGAGGAGTGAATGAGAAACTGAAAGAAAAGAGGGTTCAAGAAAGAAAGGGAAGTAATCATAACAAAGGACAGGAGTATGAAAGAAAAAGGCTTAAAGGTTTTTGTGTTGCTGTGTGTATTAGCGTGCATGCTTGTGTGAGTGAGCATATGTCTTTTAAGGCAATAGATGTTCTTGTTGGGAATCCACCATGGCAGATAGAAACATAGAGATTAAACTAGAGAGTGATGGAGGGAGGCTGATTCACAGATGAATGGAGAAACACAAAGAGGTGAAAAAAGAGCAAGAGGAGAACACAGCAACAGAGAAGTAGAGATGGTGCATCAGACAGAAAAGGAAGAAGAGGGCAGATTCTGGTGACATACATATGTCTGTCCACAGAGCATTACATTTGAGAAACAAAGTCTTATCAAAAAATTGGAAGTAGAAGGCTGATAGCTAAAGTGATGGCAAAGAAGGGAAGGAGCAATACAAGTTGTGGCTAAAGGGAGATATAGGTGACATGTAATTTACCAGAAACAAGCTAAATGAGTTTGTTTTTTATATCTATATAWATGTAGCCCTATTTTGCTGGACACAAACACAATATCCACAAACACTTGAGATAATCTCACTTTCCCATGTTGTCACCCTCTACCTTTAGCTGTTGTCTGCAACAACCCATCTGCACTATCTGACACAGTAATGTATCTGAAATCTATTGCTGGATGCAATCACACACCAACCCCACCATCTTTTGTTTTTTTGTTTTTTTCCATCTCTCACCATGTCTGCAGCCATTTCCTGCGGTGACCCCGGTGTGCCACCTAACGCAGCAGTATCTGGAACTCACAGTTGGACTTTTGGTTCAGTTCTCCAGTACTCCTGTCTGCCTGGTGGGGTCCTTGTTGGCAACTCTACTCGCCACTGTCAGGAGGAAGGCACATGGAGTGGGGCTCCACCCTACTGCACTGGTAAAAATAAGTTATTAGATGAAGCATTGGGTCTGAATAATATTATTATTTTTTTATGATAAACTATCAGATATTTTATTATCTATTCTGGTATGAGTTAGAACAGACAAGTTGATAAATTTGAAACCATCACATTCTCAACTGGAAAACTAAAACACAACTTTATTTTTACAAAAATACTTTTTATTGTGGACTAAAAAACCTGGAAAAAAACCCAATCCATTGTAACATTACTGYTGAATATTGCAGTGACTGATATTTAAACTGAATGCAGGAATTAAGGGCAATGAGAGTCCATCAGATTGGCCACATATATTATTGACAGGCAGCACATGAATGCATGGCTTTTGAAATATAATAGCCTATTATTGCAGTCCAAGCTGTCTTTTTTTATTGTGAACATTACTTGTGCAGTGTGCCCAATGAAAAAAGAAAAGTTCTACCACATGTGACCTTGCTACTAGAAGTATTTCTGTGTATAATCCCTGTGTATGTATCCAAGCTTTTCCTCTTCTCTCAAGGCACAGCAGTTAAATAATGTAAACACACAATCAAGTACAAAACCCAAAAATGTAAAATAAGTATAGACAGAAATTCACACAGTGACTCATGACACTAAAGGAATGTCATCTATTTCACTGAGTGTTGTGGCTAAAAGTTGCTTTTCCTTCTGTTATAGTTGTCATGGTTTAAAAGAGAGGTGTAACTCTTACTGCACGAGTGTGTTCCAAGCGTAGATTTAAAATTTTCCACAATCTGAGGCATAAATAACACACCTGAGGAGACATCATAATTTGAAATCAGTTAATCATTTTAATAACTGAAAAACTGCAGCAAGCTGTTTATATTCTTGATTATAATTACCTACCTCTGGCTTATCAAAAACAAACCACTCTGTGACCATACTGCCCTCCTTACCTTTTTTTTAAATTCCATATTTAAAAAAAAGCACAGCCACAGGTAAAAATGTGTCAACATTTTTAAGACTTTTTGAAACATTATCCTGTCTCTTGACAAAATGGCATATATATATATAT